GTTCCACTGGCGCAGGACTAGCTTGCAACAGCTGTGCGAATTGCCACATCATGCGGAAAGCAGAGCCAAGCGTCAACCTCGAGAAAATCGCCCAGAAGACCAAACCCGAGGTGACGTTGCTGTGGTCAGTGGTGGCGACAGTTAGGAGTAGCGGGGGAGAGTACAGGAATTAATGCCTGATGGGGCGGTTGTAGTATCAAGTAGTACTATGACCTGATTATGACTATGAGTATTACTGCTCCAGCGGTCCTAGCAGTCCTACAGAGAGGGCTCGTGCCGACTTCGGACAACCCCGGCCCGGCTCGCTAGCATTCGGCTGGCGGTGCCTCGCCTCACGCGGCAGCAAAAGGATGGTGGCATCCATAGCAATGCATATGGGGGGATTTTGCAGGGTGACTTGTGTCTTTCCAACCGCATCTGCTGTATCCTTGACTTGAGAGCTAGCGCCGCATGCAGGCAGATATTCGGGGACATGCTTTGCTCCCTCGTTCTTCTCAGAGCCTTTCAATGGCTTCGAACACACCACGGAAGAAGCGTTGCCGTGAGGCTGTGCGTGCAGCATCACACGACACTACAGCGACAATTGTCGCGCGCTGACCTCATCTTAGCACGATGCACCGCAACCGGCAGCGGGAGGATGCGGTGGTTTCTGCAGTGCTTCTGCCACACGATCGTTCTTGCGGACTTCCGTGTTGACAGCTGCAAGCCTACTTGACGTGTCGCTCAAGCTCCGATTTTACGGCATTGCAGCTTAGAGCAGCCCAAGATTGCCCAAACAGTGCCAACCTTCGTCCGTACAAAATGCCGCACTCTCTGGTCCTACATCAATCCTGTGCGTGTCACATCCAGTTTTAGCGCCTCTGAGTGCCACTTGTCATGGCCTTCGGCCGCCCCTGGGTCGCCAGCAGCCCGAGGAAACCCGAACGGACCCGAACAGCTTTCCATCTTTGCGGGCCGTTGGTGACATTTGCACTGCCACGTTTACGCAGCAAGGTTCACTAACCAACTGCCAGCCCAGGCCTCAAGCCCTAGCGGCTGGCACTCTTCAACTCCTCGGGATTCAGCAAACCGGATTCCGTCATCAACCTGGCTGCGCAATTCAAGCCTCTACATGGCTTTCAACGACCCCGACCCTGAAAGCATCAACGCCACTTGTGATCACCTCTGAAAGTCCGACGCTTTGGAAGCAGGCCTGCTAAAGCTGTCAACAAGCTGAAGCGGCTGCAGGAACTTCAGACCTTGGTGCTGGGAGCCTTTATAGTAATTGACTTATAGCAGTATAGCCAGTCTAGCATTCCAACTTCCCACGTGGCTACAGACAGGAACATGTGCCCGTCTTGCTTGGACATCGTGTTAGCGTAGCTCAAGTGCACAACATGAGTCGGGAAGCCGTTTCACCAACGAAGCTTGAGTTGCCTTACCGCACCTGACTTTTATACAAACACCAGCATGCCAAAGCTTCCAAATCAAGACGTGTCAGTGGCCAAATATGGTTGCTGTACACTATTATACCCTCGCTTCGCAGAACTACCAAAAGTCAGACTGACAGGAGCTGCTTGTATGGGGTGACAGGGCATCCAAGATCCAAGTTCAAACCCCTGTGCATGACTTGAGGCGGCTCCTACATCCAAGAAGCGCGGCAACTCCGGAAAGACATCCCACACTTCCAAACTGCTTCAAGGCCGTAATCTCCGCCCACGAACCCTCGTGGTTTTCGGCTCCGCACACCGCCGGAGGCAAACAGAATCTCGGCTGCAAAGGGCAAGGGCCAAGGCCTGCTTTCGAAGATGCTATGAGCGATGGATCTATGAACCACGAGGTCTGGCCGCAGCTTGGGCCGAGACGAACATGATGGAGCGCTTCCCCTGCAGCCCCGCCGCGAAGCAGTCCGGGTGCTGAGCGTGGGGTACACATGGTGACACGCCGGCTAGGCTCTTTGTCCCAAACCTTCTGTGCCTCTGTTGACCGGGCCCTGGCGATGCCGATGTCGGCGACCTTCTTCACCTCCGCAAGAGTTCACGTTGATCACCCGCCGTAATTGAAACACCTCAACTTCGGCAACGCACAAGGCTCCCGCAATGCCCTTCCGCCGCGCTGCATGCGCAATTTCCCTGGCCTGTGCCATCTGTGTAGCACCGCGACTCTCCAACCACGAGAGCGCGTTCTATCACGACAGCAACAACAAATCCACACCATAACAAGAAATATTGGCACCACGACAGAAAAACAAAATTACCGCGACAGCGGGCATGAAATCCTCACCACGACAAGGCATGAAAACCTCACGAGACAAGGCGTCAGCAGCAGCACACATCAGCATCAGTGAGTTCCAGTCAAAAAACATACAGGTTGGTGCTATGCAGCCGGACGATGAGACTCTTATCCCAGCCAAGACAAGGCCGTACCGGAGGCTCGCTATCAGAAGTTTTTGTGGACGGTGTTGCAAGTGATTGGAGCAGGAGATTTTGCAGAACACATGTTCGGAGGCTAGTTTGGAGGCCAGTTCTGCATCATTCTTTGCAATTTCTGGGTTTGTGCCTTTTTCAGGGGTCACCAACAACTCTAGTGTCGGCATCGTTGACATCAAGCCCGCCCCATGAAAACAACCAGGCACAACTTTGCCGCACATTACTGTTTGCAGGTTGTTCTTCTTCGTTTCTGCATGCCCAAACAAGCCATAGGAGTCGTATCACGGCCGCGCCGACTTGCAGTCTCCACACGTTCCGCCTTTGTTCCCTCACGCTCCTTGTCATAACAAACTGTTGTCCGGCTTAAATAAAGGTACCAGTACGTCGTCTTCCACTCCCCCCCCCCCATGCAGGGAAGTCACCGATTTGGAAGATTTGAGCCGTAAAACTGCAAAAAATGATGATTCTCGTACGCCGGTCCCTGCAATTGCAAAATGGTGATTCCCACACGCCCCCCTCCACCCCCTCCTCTGCTCCCACACGCGCGGGAATCACTATCTTGGAGGCCATGAGATGTGAAGATGGCAAAATGGTGATTCTCGCGCGCCACCCCGCTTACTGGATTCCCGCACGTTGCCCCGCTTACACGTGGGGGGAATCACCATTTTGGAGGATTTTGGCTGTGAAAACGGCGAAATGTAAATGGTGATTCCCGCTTGCAGAAGCACACTGAATGAAGAAGCAGACTTACATCCTAACCAGTGTATGAACGATTAGGTTCTCAAAGTTCTCAACTCACGTCCACACGAGCACACACTGCTAGGGTGGAGCCTAAACCGTTGTCAGTGTAAGAATAGAGCTTGTCGTTGTGGTTGGAAAGCTTGTCGGTGTGCAACTAAATCCTGTTGTGGTAAGGACCTACTCTGCACCACCTGGAATCACCAGCAAAATGATTTGCTGTTTCGCTTCTACTCGTGTCCACTTGCGTAACCCTTTCCTTTAGCTTCTCGAGACCCTGAAGGCACAATGCTGTTAGTCACAGCCTCTGGTAGGCTGTCACATTGCTCGTAGAGGCTCTCTGCCTGAAAATCCCATGCGTGCTTCATGTGCTTGGCTTGAGATGCTTTGAGGATGATCGTTAACGCGGCGCTTTGGGGCTTCAGCATTTTGAGTCTTCGGCTTTCGTAGACCAAGAAAGCAACCAAACCTCCAAATCCCACAAAGCCCCCAACCCGAGCATGGTTCTCCAGCGCGGCTTGTAAGAGGGGCGCGGCGTTCGAATCCTCGGGAAGAGAGGCTGCGTGGTCGGAGCACCAGAAGGAGGGGCAGCTGCACTATTTGCACTACGGCATGTACGATGCCGAAAGCCGGGCCCCTTCGAAAGGTTGCTGCAGTATTCCGCTGTTTTGCCATTCCAGAAAGAAACTAAGCAAGCCACAGAGTAAGTATGAGCGACATGATGGGAATGAGTCGAGGTGACAATGGAAATGTGGACAAAACCACACCTCGTGAGTGTTCTCCGGTTCTTGGAAAAAACACAGGCTAGAACAGCTAAATTTCACAGTTGGGTCCGGATGTTTCCCCATGGCGTAGCCTACGTGTCTGCCTTTTGCCAGTTGTTGCTGTGGATGTTGTGAAGACGCCAGTTGGGCCCTCCCCCGGAGTTGTGATGCCGCCCCACTCTCACACCCGAACCACAATCATCTCGCCCACATCCGTCGTCATGGAAGCAGGTATGGCGACTCCGACAAACCTTGTGAACATTGTGACGAGAACAGAGGAAACTTTCCCAAGCCTCACAAACTCGCTTACCGCGGCTTGCCCGAGGCCGCCACCATGTCTGATCCCCGCTCGAGGGACACGACGGGGACCTTCCGCCAGGTCGGATGCCGCTGGTGACGGTGTTGTAAGCGCAAGTGCCCTGACAAACGACACCTATGCGACTAATCATCCTTCATCTTCGTTGCAGCTTCTCTCACTGCAGAACTTCCCCCGCGACATGCGATCGCTCGTCTTGCGGTCGAGTTCTGAAGACCCAGAAAACAAGGCCCACACTCCGTCCACCACCTCGCGGTCATGCGGCGAGTGAGGTGAGGAAGTTCCAGGGGTTGAAACCTTCAACTTCAAGACCCTGCTCGAGCTCGTCAATGGATAACTCGGGACTTGGCTCTGCTTTACTTTGCAGTGACCGAACCGTAAAAGACTGTCGGGTGTCACTCCTCCGAAACCCGGAAACCCTGTGCCTATAAGTTCGCAAACAGTGAGCCTGCAGCACCGCGCCGGCACCGGCGGCTTCCTCCTCGGCCCAGATTTGGCGGCTCAGGTTCCAGGAAGAGAATTGGATATTGCACAAGGGCAACACAACTGACAGGTTGCCACAGAATAGAAGCACGGGACCGAGTCCTTCAGGTGATCAACGGAAGCTACAGAAAAGGCACTATAGAACGATGGCAAACTTGCTGACCGCTCGACGAAGCCAAGCGGGGAAACCAGACCGGTCTACCAGAAGCCCTGGCAGAAGTAAGAACAACATCACGAGAATACTGAAGTTCTCAATTCCTAAAGATTCCCAGATGGCTTGAACCGAGCGTCGTTGTAGGGATCCAGCTTCCGTTTCTGACCTGACGCCTCGCCGGCGTTATGGGCCGCCCCCCAACTGTTGTAGCCTCAGATCAGATCAGAACTCCTCTGCAGCCACAGACGAAAGACGAGCTGAACTGCGTTGTGTTTCTCTCTCTCAGCTCACGGATGCAGAAACCCTCCGACCTGAATCTCGTCTCCAGTCGCCGCGCTGCCTATCCTCGCGCTGGGGGCGAAGCTACCAAAAAAAGCCACCGGAGCCCACGGCAAGAACCCGCCAAGGGCGCACTGCTTGCTTCACCGTCGCTCTCTCGCTCACCGTATGTTTCTGGAACAGTGCAATTCTTCCTTGCACGGATACACACAGCCAGCACTTTTGACCACTTCCCTTGAGATCGACACTCCATCAAACTGCTGGCAACATTTAACATGGCAAAGCTGCGATGCAGCATGATGCATTGAACACTTCTTCTGCACGGAGGTTCAGTCTGAAGGACTCCCTTGCCAAATAAATCGAATAGAAACCATAGAACATCATCGTCACCAAAACTACCCATGTCCGTACCGGCTTTCATGTTCATGTCGCCCATGTACTGGGGCTTCGGAAATTCCCCACATATGCAGTCAATCAGATGTCCGGTCCCAGCCCCAGTCGGCGCCGACCGTCTTCGTCCATCTGCCCATCAAGCCTTCGGCAATGCTTCTCTTGGACTCGGACACTTGGATTTGACAGTGTGGATTTACCCCAGTCGTAGCAACTTTAAAGCACGTAGCTTCCCATGTCGTGCAAATCCATCAACGAGGACCGTTCTGCAGGCTTAGCTCGCTCTTGACTCGTAACGGGCAGCGAGGCCTGTGACGGAGTAGTTCCAGTCCTGGCTGTCGCTCTGGTTGTCCCAGCCTCTTCAAGGTGCGGACTGACATTGGAAGCTCGGAGGAGTCAGAGCGTAGACATCTGCATCAGACTGAGGGCATCGTCGCGCCATATTCAATGAATCTGCAGAAATGCAGAAGATGGAGCCACAAGCTGAAACTGTACTTCGAAGCCTCTGGCGGCGTAAGCCTAAATGAGCTGAAAGATATGTGGTTCTGCGAACCGGCGGTATTCAAGCGTGGCATGTGTGCATATGGATGCACAGATTAAGTTGCACGATGTTGCACGCATGCTCGAGACCGGTCCGGATAGGAGGAAGGAGCGAGGGAGGGGAGGGGAGGGGAGGGGANNGCCAGGCCCCGCCAGGCCCCGCCAGGCCCCGCCAGGCCTCCGGTCTTCCAGGTCCAATCGCTGTTGGAGCGCTCACGCCAGGAGTGCTGGGACCCTGCGGCCGTGTGAGGTGCTCGGACCCCGAAAAAAACGACAAAAACGGCTCCCTCCGCACCTGAGTCCCAGCCTTGGCCCTCGCGCTCCGGCTGGGACCGGGGAAGGCTCACCGCCCTGAAGGCTAGCCGCTAGCCGGAGCTTTCGGTGGGCAACGTCTGAGACTTGACAAGCTTTAGTCAGCTTTTAAGGGCGAGCTTGGCACAGAAGCAGGCCTCCGCTTCTGCCACGCTGCAGGCGGTCCTGGTGTGTCCTTGCGGGGCGTGGAATCTACTTCTGGGAGCTGGCATTTCGTCGTTGAGCAGGTACACGTCTCAGGGCGATAGTCTGAAAAAAGTGGCGGAAGGTGCATCGGAATTCCTTTTCAAAGCCTCGACATGCCTGAGATTTGATCTCTCTCATGCCGTGGCCACGTTCAAACGGCTCCGAGACATGTCGCTGGCGCCTTGTAGAGTCTGGGGCGCGACATTGACCGGTCCGACATCTCGTGCCTGGACTTGGACATGGCTTGTCTCCGTCAAGGGGGCTCGCGGCTGTGCCTCTCCGAGCCACGATCGGACCAAGCACGTCCGTGCCTCACAACAGTCCGAGCAGGAAACAATGCAGGCTGAGGGTGTAATCTGTTCATAGAGATCGGCAACGGTGAGCAGGAGGGAGTCTATCCAAGGGGTTGGAAGATGAAGCTTCCGACCTGATGCCAGTTGCCATGCTTGCACCAACAGCGAAAAGGCCCAGTCGCAACCAGGAAACGGACTGTGCAGACTTTCCATTGTCCGAATGTGTATCCCCACGGCTGCTTCCTCCGTGCAACCCAGCCTCTCCGATCCCTGTTCTGACCTCTCTCGCTGCCTCAGGATGAGCGGTCCCGAAGATGCGAAAGCAGAAAGCACTATGCACTTGCGTGGAGGAGCTTCGACTCACGATATTCAACTTGCCACAGCAACGAGAAGTGCTGAAATGCGGCCGTGCGGGCAGTCATGCTTAAACTGGAAAAGACGGTCATGAAAGCTACAAGCGAGATCGTCGCGGTATCAATTCAGATTTCTGGGTAAATTGTGGGATCGGAATCTGTGCATATCTGTGGGCAGGTGCGAGGGAGAGCGCGAGCGGTCCGAGCACAGGTCAGAGAGGCGGGAAAATCAGAACTCAAGCACTTCCCGCTAAGTCGTCTCATTGCAGACGATCAATCAAGTGGGATCTGTGAACGACACCGACACGGCACCTCAGTCTGTGCGCAGACTTGCGCAGTCGGACTCGGAAAGCAGAAGAGCGAGTGGTCCGATCGCAGGTCATAGACACGGGCAAAAGGCCACGTCTGCGTCATTGCATGTGAGCGGTTCTTCTAAGGATTTGCAGAAGCAGCTTGGCTACAAAGCCCGATACCAACGCATCAGCACGGGATGCCCCATTCAACGTCGTCCTGCCTTGGACACCCCCCTAGCCCTACGGAAGTCCAGCAAAGGACCACTATGCTGCAAGAGTCTCGTGCCTCGGAGCGCTCTCCCACCGGCCAGCATCATTAGCCTCAGTCAAGGCTGCAGTTGGTCGCCGTGTGCTTTCAGCCGGGATTTTCGGCCGGGCACAGATCCAACACCAGAGAACCGGAGACCCGCGAGATCTGGCTAACGGCATCAGCCTTTGGCCGAACATACATTGGTCTTGGGGCCGGGCCTTGTCCCCGTCGTTGGCACCTCTTTGTTGGAGGGGTGCTCAAGTTGATGCCGGCCACTCTCTCTCAACTTTCAACCCAGCCCTAGATTCAGGCATCCTGATCAGCACTGTAACAAAAGATTATTGCGCGAAGTTTCGGGGGCAAGGAGACTCGGCAGTGCAAAAGTTCACGGGCTGGGCTTCAGGGGGACCGACTAGATCGAAGCTGCGAAACTTGACAAACGCTGCGACGCTGCGAAATTCGACAGAAGCTGCAAAGCTGCGAGACTCGACACAAGCTGCGCAAAGATTTGAAGCTGCCTGTGTTAGGCGCTGAAGAATCAAAAAAGCGCGAACGAGAGGCCGCTGTCCCCTTGCGACCCACCCACGCAGGGTTGCATCTGCTCATGAAAGTCGATGAGGTCTGAATGCTGACTTGGTGTATGAGTGCTAAAGAAACAGCTTAGGCTAAGTCCCCCGGCACAGCATATCCTCCTCTCCGTCCCTCTGTCCCTCAACCCTAAACCCTAGCAGTGGTTCTTCCTCTTGGCACAGGTGTCAGGACTTTGCGCGAAACCGCCCCGGCCGACACCGGGCCTGACACGTCTGGCAATGCCGCATCTTCGCAGCTTCACCCCCCTGACATTCCCCTCAGGCCTAATGAAAAAATGAACCCACGTGTTGCCTATCCAGGTGAAGAGCTGCAATCGAACCAAACTTGTCGAGGTCCCAACTTTTTCTCATGGCCGACGATTCTGCATGCTCATTTTGAGCTGCAAGGGGCAGCACCATTGAGAATCGGTCCGACAACAGTGCTTCGGAGGAGTTTAAAGCGAATGCATGGCTATAAGGGGTCCGGCCATGAAGCAAGAAAAACTCGAGAAGAATTTTCTGTGAACATGTCTGATCCATGGTGGAAGTTCGCAGCTCATAAGTCGAACCCTGAAAGACAGGCGAAGCCCTGCTACAGACGCGTGGTAGCATTGACCACACAACAGCTGCTGCACCCGGAAACACTACTACGAGCTTGAAGCGGTCACCAAACCAGATGCTTTCCATCTACAATGCACATGCAGCAAAATGCACAAACACCTTCAACAGAACAAAAATGTGAATCTTCAAGAGTGAACCGCAAGACCTTGCACATGCTAAGGCCGACAACACGAGCCTGCATGGCCCGGCATGAACCGTGATACTAGCAAGACCTCGGCTCAATCAGCAGCTCCTTCTCAATCCTCAGCATCCGGATGAGACAGTGTTAAACACATTTCGAAACTAAAAGGCCACCAAGGGCCTGACCTTTGCGTTTGCAAATGCCTGCAACCCCGGAAAGTGACCGGCATGATCGCACTAGTTGTTGCTAGCACCACATGGCCACGATCTGCCGACACAATCCCTTCTGACTGTAGCAGGGCAAAACAGACCTTCTGATTCTGCGAAGCAGCAAACCCCATATGTTTCCATCTTGGCTTCTAGGGCGACTGGCTGCTGTGGCTCCTTCCTATCAGGACTGCTTTGTGAGAGCAATGATGTCGATTGGGGCACCCCTGACGAACCTTTCATACTGCATAAGTAATGACCTGAAGAACATTCTTCTGAAAGCTCCCCGCACACGGGCCCGCACATTGACTGGTCTGTGAATTCAAACTCCATCTCCGTGAGGATGGGATGCGACTGCACTTGCTTGCCCTGCAGGCTTCAGGTGTGGGAGCCGCGGGGTGCATACTGGTTGCTGGTAGTACCCTGGTCAGGAGGCGCGACCCTCGACTCCTCAGTTCACGTCCTTTTTTCACCGACCTGCTTGCGTGCTTCGAAGGAGAAGACGCGGGACGAACCGACGAAACAGATGCCCTGTGCCAGTGTGGCCGGGCAAATTCGGAGAGAAACTAGAAGCAGATGGGAAATCCGACCCAATCCTGCTGTGAGTTGGATCTCAAGTCCGAAGCCGCGAGCTAGTTCTTCAATATCGCTGTGGATGTTGGATTGCCGGGCGAGCCGCCAGCCACCCCACCCAACCGCGATCAGCTGCAGTCGGCTAAAGTCGGCTAAAGGCCGCATGGTGCCGAGCAGGTGTTGCACCAGAAGTAAATGCAGACCACCAAGCAGGCCCATGCGAGGATCCTCAGCTCATTCCGCTGATGACCTGTGACCTTCCTCATTCTAGCGCCAATGCCCCAGTCTGATCAAGGAGTTTAGACATGTTTAGACCCAGCTTGGAAGCGAACTGCCCAAGGCTTGTGGCTTTGCCGGCCGAAAAGAGGCACCAACAGCCAAGATCGTGAAATCGAGAAAAGCCAGCCGAGATGCTGGCTGGCCAGGTGGGAGTGCAGGCCAGGGATCAGTGTGGCCGTCTTTTCTGCATAGGCCGGAAACTCCTCTTGGCGTTGCATGCAGATATGATCATGTGAAAGGCTTTAGGTCAGAGACTTGCTGAAAGCGCCTGATGCGATCGGAGTTTAGGGCAGAGGAGACAGTTTTCTATTTCTGACAGATTCTCGCAAGATCTCGCGAGATCAAGGAAGGGAAGGACTCCGGCGACTCTGGAAGCCTTGGCCAGGGTTTTGTCGGTAGGGGCTGGGAGCTCGAGTTGCCATGTGCGAGTGGCATTTGAGGGTGGGTGGGGGTGGGTGGGTGGGTGGGTGGGTGTGGGTGGGTGGGTGTGGGTGTGGGTGTGGGTGTGGGTGTGGGTGTGGGTGTGGGTGTGGGTGTGGGTGTGGGTGTGGGTGTGGGTGTGGGTGTGGGTGTGGGTGTGGGTGTGGGTG